GACTTCAGCTCGGGTCATGATCTCACGGTTCATGAGTTCAAGCCCCATGTTGGGCTCTGGACTGACAGCTCAGAGCCTGGAGCCTGCTTCAAATTCTGTGTCTCCCTCTCTCTGCCCCTCCCCCGCTCAACTCCATCTCTCTCTCTCAAAAATAAATAAATACAAATTTTTAAAAAAGTAATCAGACAGAAAAAGAGAGGCAAAGTCTGGCCAAAGGGTCTACCGACAGTCCCTTGGTTCTTGGGCAGGTTGCAGATGGAGTGCTGCCTCTGCTTGTGGTGTGCCCTTCTAGGAGTGGTGCAGGGGTGCAGTGGGGGATTGAGGAAAGGGTCCCAGACTTGGGGCTGCTAGTGGTCTTGTTCCATGAGACTTGCCCTATGGTCTTGTTCTGTGCAGGAGTGACAGCTCTGATGTGTTTGGAGGCCAGATAGAGGGGAGCTAGGCTGGCCAGGGCCCTGGAGAAAAGGCCAGAGCCACCCAAGGGGCCCGGGCCCTGGGTGTGGTGAGGTGGCCTGGCAAGCACACAGAAGAGGAGCCTAATTCAGAATGCACTGGATGTCCCACCCGGGACAGACTATGGCCGGAGGCAGAGTGGCATATTCATGCCCAGGCCACAGTGAATGACTTAACAGAGCAGCTACTCAGAAGTCTGTTGATAGCAAGTGTCTCTTCACCATGCCGGGCCCCGCCTTCCTGGTCTGGCTTCTCCTTGACTGGACACAGTTGACCTGCCCAGGCCAGCTTCCCATCCTGGCGCTAAGTTCCTCCAGCCTCCACCCTGCACCTTGGGCAGCTGGAAAGTGCCCGCCCACTTGGCCCAGAGTGCTTGCTGAAGGGTTCATGCCAGTGGTCTATTCATCTTCACCCCTCTTTTTCTCTCTCTCTTCTTTGCTTGCTGCTGGCAGCTGGACCCTGAGGCCGCCTCTCCTGCCCACAGCCAGGTAGGGTGCTCCTGCCCCCTTCAGGAGCCCTCCGCTTCCTCCAGTGACCGCCTTCCACCCCTGGCCTGTACCTGGGCTGGCGTCTGTGCTCGGGCCTCATGCTGGAGTGTAAGGCCTCTTTTCCCTTCCGGCTCCCACCCTGTATCTGGGGGGATCCTTGGGGGAGGCGGTGCCAGAAGTTTGAAATGGGTCTGTTCTGTGTCAGGCCTTGGGAGGTGTCTAGTCTGAGTGCCACCACTTGAGTTTGGCCTTGTGGCACCTGGGTTTTAACCACTGGAACCCAAGGGCCTGGCAAGAGTTTTGGTTTCTAGGTGTTTTAATTCCTCTTACTCTGGGTAGAGAAAGCTGAAAGGCTGAGCCCCTCCCACCTCCCACCCTCCTTCCCAAGCCAGAAGATGTGGCATTCTTTGGCTCCACCTGCTGGCCAATTTGGGAACCTACCTTTGAATTAGCTCTAAAGGATTCGCTCTAGGCCAGGACCCTGTGATGTCCCCTTCTTCATCAGGTTCCAAGCATCTGACCCGTAGAATGTGTCCAGTCAAGATGAACGTTTAACCTGTATCATGTGATTTGGAAAAAAAAGAAAACATTGATTTTTTTTTTATAAACTTCCGTTTCTTCAAATATAAAAAACTAGCCTTTTTTTTTTTTCATGTCTTCATTTAACAATTTAAAATGTTGCCAGCCCCATAGTGGTTCTCCTGTTTGAAGGGTGATTTCCCTGGTCATGATTCCCAGAGCCTAGGGGCCACGCGTACCCTTCTCTCTCCAATGGGGAAGGGCAGTCAGCGAGGAAGAGGGAGTTATCTGAACCCAGAATCCAACCTGGGAGTAGAACCCAGATCTCTTTTTCGTTCAGCTCCAAGAAATGTGACAAAGAAAATATTTATTATGTTTTCTTATCCTTTCCAATCCCTCACACAGGGGGTCAGTATCACAGAGCAGCGTCTGTACCTTGGCCTCAAGTCTTGTGAGGGTGGGGGACTCTCAGAGACTGATGGTGGCTCACAGCTGTTCCAGTGCCCAGCCATGTGGCATACAAGTCTTTTCCTGTGTTTGGCAAAACACCGCTGCACTTTCATGCCCCCCTCATATGTCTGGCCATGCTATTTTATGGCCTTGGCCTTCTGAGGAGGCATGGAGGAGGAGTGGAAAGGCTGGCGTGTACATCTGGGCACTGCTCCTTGCCCAGCAGGGCATCCTCTGGAGGGAAGACCAGGCCGAGACTAGGATTTAGGACCCATATATCACTTTGCAGTAAAAAGTCCGCAGTAGACACTTCTCGGGTCTTGAGGAAGCGCCCTTTCCCACCTCAAGACAGAGGCTGGGCATGAGAGGTCACAGTAGCAGTGGGCGTTGGCTCAGGGAGAGGGGTGTGGGCTCAGCACACCAACCCTACAGGGGAGGTGGGGAAGAGGGCGGCTGAAGGCAGAACCTGCTGGTTTGCTTTCCTACAGTCTACTCTCCTCAGGGCTTGGGTTCCGAGTGTCCCCGTCCTTCCAGACCCTCAAGGCTGGCATGGTCCCTAACTCTGTGTCCTTGTCCTCGGGGCTCCTCAGGCCCATCCCCATCCCCTGGCTTCCCCACCTTCTTCCTCTGACACTTCCAATGTCCCCTGTTCTGTGTCTGCCACCCAACTGTCCCCCTTACCAGGTGGCTCATCTGGAAGCACTTCCCCTCACGTGTCTCTTCTCTTCTGTCCCGACTGTTTTCCAGAGCAAGGTCTGACTATTTATTACCCCCCCTTCCTCTGATAGGTGAAGACAGAAGAGCAGATTGCAGCTGAGGAGGCCTGGTATGAGACAGAGAAGGTGTGGCTGGTCCATAAGGATGGCTTCTCTCTGGGTGAGTCTGGGGAGGCCCAGGGTGCAGATGCCTGGGCCTCTCAGGTTTCCGGGCTGGGTGTGCCTTCTGGGTCTGGTGAGGCCTGGGTGGTGAGTGAGGAGAGGCTAGTGATATAGTAGGGAAGAGACAGGACCACAAAGGGCCTGAAGAGGGTGGCAGAGGCTTCCCGGGCCTGTGTCTGACTGTCTGTCCCCGCTCTGTAGGCAGTCAGCTCAAATCTGAGGAGCTCAGCTTGCCAGAAGGCAAGGTGCGTGTGAAGCTAGACCATGATGGCGCCATCTTGGATGTGGATGAGGATGATGTGGAGAAGGTTTGCAGGTGGAGGGCACAGGAAGTGGGCTGGGCAGGGCAGGCCTGTCCACTGGCAGTGCCGACAGATTCTGCTTCTTCAGTGCCTGCCTGCCTGTCCTATCACACAGGCTAATGCTCCCTCCTGCGACCGTCTAGAAGATTTGGCCTCGCTGGTGTACCTCAATGAGTCCAGCGTCCTCCACACACTGCGCCAGCGCTATGGTGCTAGCCTGCTGCATACGTACGCTGGCCCCAGCCTGCTCGTCCTCAGCCCCCGTGGGGCCCCTGCCGTGTACTCTGAGAAGGTGCGGCACCCACTAGGCGACCATGCTGCCCCATGGACCCACCCACACACTACCTACCCCACCTTCCCTGGCTTTGCTCCTTCCCTTTGGCATCCCACTGGGCTCTTGTCCACTCTCACAGTTGAACTTGGAGCCATTTCAAGGGGTGGGGACATGAAGCCCTCCCCGTAACCTCTAACAGAGGCCGGCACTGTGCTAGTATCTGCATTTCTATGCAAGGCCTTAGCCTGGGAATCCCTCGACAACCCCCGCCCCGACAGTGAAAGGCCCAGAAAGATGTGGACCTTGGGGGTGAGGACTGTCCAAGTGTGACCAGCTAAGAGCCTGCCCTTTCCCGCCCTCCCCCTCCCACCCAAGGTGATGCATATGTTCAAGGGGTGTCGGCGGGAGGACATGGCACCCCACATCTATGCCGTGGCCCAGACCGCATACAGGGCAATGCTGATGAGCCGCCAGGACCAGTCTATCATCCTCCTGGGCAGCAGCGGCAGTGGCAAGACCACCAGCTGCCAGCATCTGGTGCAGTACCTGGCCACCATCGCAGGCACCAGTGGGAACAAGGTGTTTTCTGGTGAGACAGGCCACCTGGAAAAACTGAGAGGGGCTGGGGATGGAAGCGCCTCATAGGCATCAGCTTTGTTCTCCCTGGCTTCTCTGTGCCCTCAGACCCCCTCTGTCCCTGGGCAGTCTGGCCTGAGTAACTCTGAGCCTTTGTGCACTGGGGGAATAGGCCCTGGGCAGGAGGCTTTCCTGATGGCCCCTGGGCCTCTGGAGGCTTTCCTGATGGCTCCTGGGCCTCTGGAGGCTTTCCTGATGGCTCCTGGGCCTCTGTTCTACAGCAGAGAAGTGGCAGGCTCTGTACAGCCTCTTGGAAGCCTTTGGGAACAGCCCCACCATCATGAACGGCAATGCCACTCGCTTCTCCCAGATCCTCTCCCTGGACTTTGACCAAGCTGGCCAAGTGGCCTCAGCCTCCATCCAGGTGAGAGGACACTCAGGGTAGTTAAGAGACTGGCTGCCTGGTTTCAGGCTCCCTCCTGTGCCTTATTTTCCTGGGATTCTACCCAGGATCCCCTCCAGCAGGGATGGTGTGCTCCACCCCGAGTTGTCACCATTCTGCCCCCACCGTGTCTTCTGCCCCCCCATGCTTCTTGCCCCAGGTGGGTCCTGGCTCAGCTTCCTGCCCAACCCTGGGGTTGGCTGTACCCTACTTCTGGGGCCCTGGCCCTGTGTTCAGGGGTTTCTCTCAGGCTAATTTCACCCAAGTAAGACTTGCTTGTCAATGAAGTAAGTTCCAGCCGAAGCTGGTCCCCTTCCATGCTGAATGAAATATTTTTCCACAAAGTGCCCAGCTCCCTGAGAAGACTGTGCCTGGGGCCTGGGCAAGGCACCAAGGCCCCTCTGTGAGCTGGGCCTATCTCCTTCCCCCTGGCTTTGGTTTGTGCCCCAGGTTTGACCCTGTGGTGATCTGGCTTCTGGTTGAGAGTAAGCTGCACCTGCTTGCTCCCATGGGCCTTGTTCTTTCCGGTGTGGGGTGGAGAAGCTTGACCTGGCACCACCCTCCTTGCCCATACCCTCTATGCTGTGCCATAGACGATGCTACTGGAGAAGCTGCGTGTGGCCCGACGCCCAGCCGGTGAGGCCACCTTCAACGTCTTCTACTACCTGCTGGCCTGTGGGGATGGCACCCTCAGGTGAGATGGGACAAAGGAAATCGGGGAGGGTGCTCTGGGTTCTAGCTCACTGATGGCTCCTGGACCTTGTCACTTGACTGCATCCCATACCGTTTGTTTATTGTACGCTTGCTACATGTTAGGCTCTGAGGTAACTGGGGGTGGTGAGATGAATGAGCCATGGGCTGTACCCCACAGGAACTCCTGGGTCCTGGGCACAGAGTCCTGGCTATGTGTGAGGGGCACAATTGATGCTCCCATGTTCCCAGGGTCGAGCTATGACCTCTGCTACTCCAGGTCTGCAGAGGAAAGCACCTCAAGATGCAGGTGGTCAGGGACTTGCCTATAAGTCACACAGATAACGTGGGGCTGAGCTGTTATTTGAGTTCATACTGGAGCCGAAAGCCCACGCCTTTTTCTGTGCCCTCCAAGCTGGGCCTCCTGCCCCCCATGTTGGCTCATCTACTAGGCTTTTCCCTTTAGACCTTCAGCCTTGCTGTCTTTGTTCTTTGCAAAAAAGGATTAATGATAAGGCTGAGCAAGCAACCCCAGGACATTATCCTCCTTAACTCTTCTTGTAGCTGAGAGCCTGGTCTCTGTCCTGGCTGGACTCGTGCTTCAGGCAGATTCCTGGCTCTCTTTCAGGGGTCTGTCTGGACGCTCTCCCCAGAGCATCTCTGACGACCTGTCCTAGGGAGGTTGGTGCTCTGACCAGGCCTTCAGGCCAATTAGGGAAGGCGGCGGCAGCTGGCCTGACAGTAGGGCATGACGAGCAGACAGGACTGAGAGTCTGGAAGCTGAATCTGTCTCTACCCTGGTAGGGAGATGGCCTTGGCATGGGGACCAAGCACTGTGCTGATGCCTCATTTGTACCCCTAGGACAGAGCTCCACTTGAACCACTTGGCAGAGAACAATGTGTTTGGGATTGTGCCACTGGCCAAGGTGAGGGGCCTGTGGGGACTAGGTTGGCAGTCCTGGGCCTTGGGAGCAGGGGAGTAGGGGAAGTGACCTGGAGAACCCCACGGGAATAGCAGGAGCCCAGCCCCAGCTGGGCAGCTCTCACCAGCCCTGCCCTCCCCGAGGGTCCAGAAGCATGGGGGTATGCCGGGAGGGACAGCGCCCCCCCCCCCCGAGGTGCAGTGCCAGCGTCCCCTCCTGTCCCTGCAGCCTGAGGAGAAGCAGAAGGCGGCTCAGCAGTTCAGTAAGCTACAGACCGCCATGAAGGTGCTGGGCATCTCCCCAGATGAACAGAAAGCCTGCTGGCTCATCCTGGCTGCCATCTACCACCTGGGGGCTGCAGGCGCCACCAAAGGTAACCCGCAACGGGTCCCAACAGCCTGGCTTGTTGCCCGGGAGAGCTTGTGGAGGCCCTGCCACTCGCGGTTTGTCCTCACCCAGCACAGATGTGTCTGTTATCACCCTCTGTTGCGTGTGCCTCTTCCCACGTCAGAACAGGAGGCTCTGATGCCCAGAGAAGGATCTCTGCCCCTGGACTTGGATGGCAGTAATGCGGAGCACTGTGAAGAGTTGGGGGGGGGGGGGCAGGATTCGGAAGCTGAGGGGAAAGAGAAGGGCCCTAAGTCCAAGCAGTCCCCTTGGAATAACTCTGCTTCTTGTTCCCTTCCTGACAGAGGCCCCCGAGGAGCAAGCCGGTAACTGACCTTGGCCCCTCCCTGGGGTGTAGGGGCTACCTTGTCCCATCTTGGTGCTTGCCCTGGGCTCTGTCTGGGGGCTGGGCTTGTTCTGTCACAATGGAGGGGACTGGCCTGGGAAAAGCCCCAGGTTGAGGGGGGAGAAGGTGCCTGCCGGCTGTGAGGTTTCTTGGAGTCCCAGGCATAGCTGCTTCTACTTGTGTTGCCTCCAGATCCTGGGGCCTCTCAGGATGCCCTCCTCGGGGCTTGGATGGGGTAGGGTGGGCCTGCTTCTTGGGGCTTTCCCAGGCCAGTTTTCTCTGAGTCTTCCCTTTTCTTCACTGGTTTGGTAGAAGGCATCGCTTCCTCTTGCATATCCAGGTGGGGGCCACTAGGGGGCGGCAGGCACCGTGGTAACGAATGGGCTGTTGCTTCCGCACTTGAATTTGGGGCTTGTGAATGGCTAGAGCTTGGTCTGGCTTGGAAGAATTCTGCTGCCTTCTGAGATTACCTTGACGGCTGGGCACTCTGAGCACCTCTTTGCCCCTTACTCCCCTTTCTCCGAGGGATGCTGCCTCTGAACATCCTCTCGGGCTTTGGCTTCATGTTTCTCTGGGATGTGAAGAGCCCCAGGCTGCTCAGCAGGAGCGAGAAAGCACTGGTGGGCGGGTGGGTGCATGGAGGAACAGGCGTTCAGGTGTTAGGTTCCTTATGATCCCAGCAGGTGGCATCCCTGCCAAAGAGGAAGCAGGCTCTGAGTTAAAGAAGTTGTCTCCAGACTGCGTAGGTGGGCAGGCGGGTAGGCGTGTGGCTGTGTCTTGAGGAAGTTCTTTTGCTCTGAGGCGGTGACAAGCCCAGGTTTCCTATAACCCTGTACTGCACGCGGAGAGCTCCGGGTGTGTGTCAGCAGGGTCTGTTACCTCCTCAGAGCTTCCGGTATTTCCCAGAGGGTGTGTGTGTGTGTGTGTGTGTGTGTGTGTGTGTGTGTGTGTGTGTGGTGTCTTTGTAGGTCTCTGTGACAGCGTGATTGCATCCATGAACACACTCCTTTGAGATGGTGTGTGTGCACATGTGTGTATTTTTGTGTCTCGGAGTCTGAATGTGGTTATGTTCTCTTGCCTGCTCATCCTCACAACCCCCCACCCCCCATGGTCCCTTCCCGTGGGCCTGGCGGGCTCAGCTGATGACTGTTTGCTAACACGCTGTTTTTCTTTGCATGCTGCATGCTGGTCCTTTGCCTTACAGAAGCTGCTGAAGGTAAAACCTTGTTTCTTGTTAGCTTTCCCTAATTGCTGTGATTAGACACATGTTGGCTGAGGCGCGACTGTCTGCGTGGGCTGTTCCCTTTCCCTGGCAGCTCTTTCCACTTCCCCACTGGTGGGCCATGGGTGGGTGTTTGTGGTCTCCCCCCAGCAGACGCCTGGAAGTAAGGGAGAGGGTATTCTTGGAAGGGGGAGGCACTGGTACTCCCCCATGATGTGTCCCCCACAGGCACAGGTGGTTCCGGTGCTCATTAGAGATGGGCTGGCTCCTCCTCGGACCGCCCCACCCCAAGTTGGTACCCCTGAGGCCAAGTCCTCTAAAAGCGATGGTCAAGGCTGCCTGGGCGCCCTCTGGCGGCGGCAGCATGGAGTTACCTCCTCTTTTAGGACCTGCTCATTCTCGCTAGGGCAGGGGACACAGGAAGTGCTTGCGGGCAGCTTCTGGCCGTCCCTGTTTTGCCTAAAGCCCTTCTGGTGTCATCAGGGCTGGTGTTTCCTCCAGAAGATGTTCACTCCCCAGTTGTTGGCCATGGGAGCCAAAGGGCCCCATGGTCATCAAGTGGACTAAGGAGAAAGACCCAAGATGCCAGATCCTTTTTTCAACCCCATAGCTGGGCGCAAGCAGTTTGCCCGCCACGAGTGGGCCCAGAAGGCCGCATACCTGTTGGGCTGCAGCTTGGAGGAGCTCTCCTCAGCCATCTTCAAGCACCAGCACAAGGGTGGAACCCTACAACGTTCCACCTCCTTCCGCCAGGGCCCTGAGGAGAGCAGCCTGGGAGATAGTACAGGTACCATGGGACCCTTGGCTGGTAGATGTGATTGGGAGGCCTCATCCGGGGCTCATTGCAGTCTTCTCTGGCGTGGGGAGACTGCTGGGGTGAATAGGTGCTTCCATCAGAGGAAGAGGCCCAGCCCCAGGGCCCCATGCTGACTTGACCCAGGGTGGGTAGAGAGCATACCCCGTGGGGATTCCCAGGGGGGCAGGAGGTAGAGATGATGCTCTTGCCCCACAGGCCCCAAACTGAGTGCACTGGAGTGCTTAGAGGGCATGGCGTCTGGCCTCTACAGTGAGCTCTTCACCCTTCTCGTCTCCCTGGTGAACAGGTGAGTGCCAGGCAGGGCCCAGGAGCTGACCAGCTTCCTGCCGTGACAAAGGTGGGAGTTGACTGATACCTCTGTGCTGGTGTGATTGCTGAGGTGGAGCCATTCTCCGCCAGCAGAGGGCTCATTGTCCTCGCGGGCGACAAAAGGCACATCCTCCCCACCAGGGTCGTGGGCACCTGGGCAGGGTGGAGATCTGGCTTGGGGCAGAACATGGCTGCCTGGGCGCCATAGGCAGACCAGTGGAGCGTGTTCAGTGGTACTGCCCTGGCCAGCTCTGACCCAGGCTCTCCCTGTGAAGGGCTCTCAAGTCCAGCCAGCACTCACTCTGCTCCATGATGATTGTGGACACTCCGGGCTTCCAGAACCCTGAGCAGGGTGGGTCGGCCCGTGGAGCCTCCTTTGAGGAGCTATGCCACAACTACGCCCAGGACCGGCTGCAGAGACTCTTCCACGAGCGCACCTTTGTGCAGGAGTTAGAAAGATACAAGGAGGTAGCACTTGACCTTGCCTCTGCCTGCCCCCGCCCCACCCCCACCCCGGCCCCCAACTTCACTTCCCTGGCGCCCGCAGGGAGGGCATCTGTGGAGAGAGAAGGCACCACCTTTCCCACCGGTGGCTCCCTTCCTCACTTTTGCTCTGTCATTTCTGTCTCTCTGTGTTCTCTGGAGTGGTAGTCTTGTCCTGCCCCAGACTGCATTCTTACCCTGTGGAGAGTTTGCTCTCCAAGAAGCTGCGCCTGCATTCAGGGTCCCTGAGAGCCCCTCTTTGCCCACCCTCAAGGCACCCACCTAGGCCCCGTGAATTCCTGCCTCCACGTGTGTCAGGCCTGGCCTTCCCTGTCTGTCTCCTGATCTGTTAAGATGGTGATTAGCTAGGGCCCCTTCACGAAAGGGTGTCCCGCATGGAACAAGATCTAGAAATCCCACCTCATGTGGAGGTGAGATGAATGAACTGGGGAGCGTATTTACCTTGGATGAGAGAAGATATACGAGGCAAATGACAGTTGTCTTCAAGTGTTTCGAGGGTGATGGTGTGAAATCGAGAGTAGGGGTATTCTGCATAGTCTAATCAACTGGTGCGAATAATAGGAATATGCGACTTTACCTCAGTATTGAAGAAGGTTAAAAGAATTTTAGCTGTCCCAATCCCAGCGCCCCCGCCTGGCCATCACCCAGGGCTGCACCCCTCAAAGGGCCTGTGCTCACAACCTCTCTCCCTTTCTTCCTAGGAGAACATTGAGCTGGCATTTGACGACTTGGAGCCAGCCACGGATGATTCTGTGGCAGCTGTGGACCAAGCCTCCCATCAGTCCCTGGTAGGAACTCCAGCAAGGGCCTGGGCTGGCCTTTTCTCCCCTTGTCTGTTCCTCAACCTCAGTCAGGCCCTTGCTGTTGTAACCTGCTGCTCAGCTGGTCCGGTCAGGAAGTGGCACTTCCTTCTGCCCTTGTGCAGTGACAGGCTTAGCCCCAGGTGTCTGAGCCACAAGGGAAGATGTGACCTCCTCCCTTACCACCTCGGGCTCAGGCCCTGTCCTGTGACTGGCTGAGCCAGGAACTCTGGTGTCTCCTCCTCGATGGTGAGGGTTTGACTGGACCCAGAGGACATAGTCATCCCTCCCACTGTCCCCGAGAGACTGGTGCAGCCAAGCAGAACGGGCGAGGAGTCTGTGCAAGCAAGGAATCTGTGCCTCGCTATATATGTGAGCCCTCACCCCTCAACCTTAGGGGCAGGCTTTGTCACACTTTGGACTAGTATCTTGGGTACTTTGCTGCCTGGGAGACCGGCCGGCCTGATGAACACTTGGCATTTGCTGATTGTCTTCAGTTAGGGACGTTTCATAGGGACTTTTCTCGAGAATTGGCATTTTTGCTAGGCTCCCCTCCTCTGCTTTGAGCCCTGCCTCCCTCTCCCTCTTCCTTGTGGGAAGGCCCTGCCATGCTACAAGGGCTTGGGGCCCCAGGGAGATCGAGTGTCCCCCGGGACAAGTCCTTAAAGTGCCCAAGTTCCATGTCTCCCCAGGGAAGCTGGCTTTGCTTTTCCTGGCACCTGGGTTCTTGTCCCGGCCTCCGTGAGAGCCTTTGCCATTCCCAGGAGGTGTGGGAAAGTCAGTCCGTGTGGCTTAGCAGTGGCAGTGGCTCAGACAGTGGGTTCCCTTCTTTGCTGTCCCTATCTGATGGGCCTTAGCACCTCTGGAACAGGGACCCCTCGGTGCTGAGCCTGTTGCGCACTGTCCTTCATTGCCCAGTCCTGCCATGCAGCTCCAGCCAGTCTGGGACCTTAGCTGCCCTTCAGTGCTTGGCCACATTCTGCTTCCTCCTGAGAATCACACAGGCCCCCTTGGGCAGCCATGGGGTGGGGGTGGGGAGGAGATGCAGGCAGCTGGGTTCAAAGAAAGGGAAAATGGCACTTTTCTTACTTCTCTTGTCCCCCAGTCCCTAAAGGCCAGGCAAGCATGGGGGTGTGGGGGCGGTTCTGTCTTCTTGCTCAAGGAAGACTTGGAAATGCTGTAGAAAAGACACCGTCAGACCAGGTGTGGCCACAGACCTGGTTTGTGTGGCCTGCGTAGGGTGTTAGAAACCAGAATTCAGTATTTCCACCTTCTCTTGAAAAGCTGGAAGGTTTATCTGCACTAGGCCAGTGTTCCTCCAGGACAGAAGTTGGCTACAGCTGATTGGGAAATAGCCATTTCCCTCAGATGGGGACACATGCTAGGCAGTCACCCAACTCCTCCCATTTTGGCTGTTCTATCTGTTAAGTCGCCTGTCTTACAATTTGGACGCTCGAGTTTATGACCCTGCAGGAATCCCCCCTGCAGTGCTCTGAGCCCTTTCCGCATCCCCCCCCCCCCCCCCCCCCCCCCCGGCTGCCAGGGCGCCCAGGTTTAACCCCAGCCATCACTGACTAACTGCTTCCTTCGGGCCATGCCCTCTGCCCAGGGACCTTCCAGACTTCATCTCGTTTAGTCTGCCTGGGAGGTGATGCCCAGGGAGTGAGGGCCACACAGCCTCACTTCCAGGAGGGTGAGGATGATTAACAAGAAGCCTTCAGCCTTTGGTGACTTCGGACACGACTCCTAGGAACTGTGTTTTGCTGTGGGCTTCTCTCTCTAGTCTGTCTCAGGCTCCCTCTTTCTCCTTGCTGCGCAGCTGCTCCACAAGGTGTCAGCCGTGAGTGGCAGGAGCTGCAATGCGTGTGCGTATGGGTGGCGTGTCGATAGTGTGTGGTCGGGCCAGGGGCTCCATGTGACACGGGGGCATTTCTTCACTTCTCCGTAGGTCCGCTCACTGGCACGCACCGACGAGGCAAGGGGCCTGCTATGGCTATTGGAAGAGGAGGTGCTGGTGCCAGGGGCCACTGAGGATGCCCTCCTGGAGCGCCTTTTCTCCTACTATGGCCCCCAGGAGGGTGACAAGAAAGGTAGGTGGTACCCCTAGAGGGCTCTTCTGCTACCCCTCGGAAGGACCCACTATTATACGGGTCTAGATGGTACTGTCTGGAAGGGCTCACCGGGTCCCTGGGCTTTTTTGGGGCCTGTGCCCTGATGATCTGAACCTTACTTCTCCCATCCTCAGGCCAGAGCCCCCTCCTGCGCAGCAGCAAACCCCACCATTTTCTCCTGGGCCACAGTCATGGCACCAACTGGGTCGAGTATAATGTAGCTGGCTGGCTGAGCTACACGAAACAGAACCCAGCCACCCAGAATGCCCCCCGGCTCCTGCAGGACTCCCAGAAGTAAGGACACCACTCGCTCTGCCCCGTCTCGTCCCCAGGGCTGGTTTTGGCCTCCCTGGTCTAAGAGGCCCCCTCACCAGCAGGGTTGATTGCCTCTACTTCCTGAGAGGTGACAGCCAAGGTCAATTGGTCTTGAGGGCCTGGGAGTGGCCTCCTGGATAGAGGTGGGATGGACATGGTTGGAGGGACCTATAGTTTGAAATCTGAATAGCACCTCCACGTTCTTCATAGAAGGCAGGAGTAGTAAACACACACACACACACACACACACACACACACACACACACACACACACAAAACAAACAAAAACTTTAAAATGGAGTGCCTGGCTTGGTCACAAAAGCATGTAACTCTTGATCTCAGGGTTGTGACTTCAAGCCCCACACTGGCTGTAGAGATTACTTAAAATACCATAAAAATTAAAAATTTTAAAAGAAGGCAGAAATAGCCTTAGAAACCCCTCAGTCATACAGGCCTGTCATTCATTTGTGTATTTAGCAGATAACTATTGAGCACCTGCTCCTTGACTGAGACTCTTCCGGGTGTCTGGCAGATAGCAATGAATAAAACAAAACTCCCTGCCCATTTGGGGGGTGGGGGGGGACGGGGGGGAGAGCTCAGATAACAACCAGTAAATGTCATATGCAGATTCTATGGCGTGGCAGAGGATGCTGGGCTCTAATCTCTCCTGCCACACTGGACCTCTGCCCTCCCGGGTGATGGACAAGAACAGATCACTCCACTCTGTTCAATGCCTGCCTACCCCTAGGCTTCTGTCCCCCTCCACCCAGTGGTTTTCTCTTCTTCCTATCCGAAGATTTGTCTACAGTTTCTCTCTAGGGTGCGGGACATGCAGCCCCAGGCCAGATAACCCAGGCCACTGGCCACGATGATATGGGGCTTTTGGGGGTGTCCTAGGAACTGGGAGAAGGAACGGCCTCCACTACGCTCTCAGTGAGACTTCTTTCCCTCTTTCGCCCTTCCACCTCCGGCAGGAAAATCATCAGCAACCTGTTTCTGGGCCGGGCGGGCAGCGCCACGGTGCTGTCGGGCTCCATCGCAGGCTTAGAGGGCGGCTCGCAGCTGGCGCTGCGCCGGGCCACCAGCATGCGGAAGACCTTCACCACGGGCATGGCGGCTGTCAAGAAGAAGTCTCTGTGCATCCAGATTAAGCTGCAGGTGGTGAGTGTGCCCGCCCAGCCTCCGGGGCCCTCTCGGGGCTTCTCTGGCCATTCTAGGCACACTCAACTTACCTGGTGCCCACTCAGCGTCCCACTCTGACTTGACTGCACTCTTTTTTAGTCCTCTTTTCGGTACGGCTGCCTGAGTGGCCACGCAGGCCGAGTGAGGGCATGGCTTGGCCACTGGTGGGACACCTGCCATCCCGTGGGGAGCGGAGATGCTGATGCCAGTCCCAGCTCTCCTGACCCCCGGCCAGGCCATCAGAATCCACTGAGGCCTGCCTCTTTCCCTTTGGCAGGACGCCCTCATAGACACCATCAAGAAATCAAAGCTGCATTTCGTGCACTGCTTCCTGCCTGTAGCAGAGGGCTGGGCTGGGGAGCCCCGTTCTGCGTCTTCCCGCCGGGTCAGCAGCAGCAGCGAGCTGGACCTGCCCTCGGGGGACCACTGCGAGGCTGGGCTCCTGCAGCTGGACGTGCCCCTGCTCCGTGCCCAGCTCCGCGGCTCCCGCCTGCTTGACGCCATGCGCATGTACCGCCAAGGTGGGCCTCCCTCCCTCTCAGCTACTGCTTCTCTTTTCTAGAACTGGCTCCTGCCCCTCCCCACCTCCCAGATGGGGCCCATGGGGCTAGAGGGGTGCTGCTTCCCCCTCTGGGCCCTAGATCTCTTTCCTCCTCTGGTGCCTGCTCAGTGGGGGTCTCTCCAGCCCAGGCTGTTCCTTTCTCTTTTTCCTTCCGCCTGGCTGACCCCCTTCTTCCTCCTCTCCCTTCTCTATTCCAATCCTCCTCACCCACCCCCCGTTCCCCACGTGCCCTATTCACACAGCTCCTTCTTTCCCCCTTCCCTGCTCTGCCCACAGCAACAGACCCACTCAAGCTGTCTGCTCAGTGGTGCTAACTATCTCCTAGAGCAGGCCGGTGGCTGGGCTGCACCCCCGATGAGAAATGAGGTGCTAAATTTTTCTGAAGTACGTAAAATTCCCAAGAAAGGTCAGACGGACCCTTTTTATGGACCCATCTGGAGGAGGTGATGGAAAGGGTGAGAGTAATTAGCACAGTTGACCCTTGACTAACTGGTTTTGAACAGTGCAGGTCACTTATATGCGGACTTTTTGTAGTATGGTACTATGCCTGTCTTTTTGCTCCCTTGTGACTTCCTTAACGACATTTGCTGTCTTCTAGCTTACTTTATTGTAAGAATACGGTATATACTACACATAACACATGACAATGTGTTAATCGACTGTTTCTGTTATTGGTAGGGCTTCCAGTCAACGGTAGATTATTAGTAGCTAAGTTCTGGGGGGGTGGTTGGGGGTGGGGGAGAGTTAAAAGTCATACTTGGATTTTTGACTGCACAGGGGGTCAGCACCCTTAACTCTCATGTTGTTCGAGGATCACCTCTAGTTCACATCTTTAGAGTACTTACGGTACACCAGGCACTATTCTGAACTCGTCATAGACATTAACTCATTAATTTTCCCAACAATCTCATAAGCCATAGGTGCTATTACCATCCCCAGATGAGGAGACTGAGGCTTAGAGATGTTAAGTAGCTTGCCTGGGGTCACACAGCTCTTGAGTGGTACAGCGAGATTTGACCCAGGTGGACCAGCTTCCAAGCCCATGCCTCTTGAGTAGGGCTTCGTTAGCCTGAGAAGTTAAGGGTTGCCAGATTTCTGCCCTTTTCCCTTTTGATAGAAGAACTGGCAGGGTCCCACCGCCCATAGCCAGGCCCCCTTGAAGCATCCCCATGGACTCCATCACTTTTCCTTAGCAGCCAAAGCCAAAACACGGGCTCCCTGCCCTGCTCTAAATAAATCATTGATCTGTCCCCACGTCTTGATATGGAGTTGGTGTTTATTATTTCAAAACCAGATTGTTACCGCTCTGAACCAAAATCAATGTGCTTTACTCAAACAAGCAGATCGATGAGGCCAGCAGCGGCAGGCCCCCCTCCCCTCGCCCAGTCCCCAGCCACCATCGATAGCGCTGATGATTAATTAAGATGCCAGGCGTCCGGACCTGCTATCCTGGCCCATCAATTTAATTGCAATTCAGATACAATCAATAGCTCACTTTGTCTTGGCCCCTCAGCGGCCCCCGCCTCCTGTTTCAATTATCGGGCACACGCATCAGCCTCATCTCCCAGTTGGAGGGTTTCCCAGAGCTGGCTAGGCCGGTGGAGTGGAGCGAGCCCCCGACTAGCTGTCAAGAGCCCGGCTTTGGAGTCCAGTTCTGCCTCTAGCCGCAGCCTCTGTGACCTTGAGCAAGCCGTTCGGTCCACCTCCTCGGCCTCAGCTTCCATGCCTGGAAGATGAGTTGTATCTGCTCTAAGACCCCTTTTCAGTTTAAATTCTGTGAATCTGTAAGAGTGGCTCTCGTGGTCCTCTGCCACGGGCTCTGGTTCCCTCAAGTGGCTCGGGGTAACTTCCTCCTGGCCACCATCCCGACCTTGCTCCAGGCTAGAAGCCATCTGACCCTTGCCCTCACCTCAAGCCTTAGGGAGGTCTCTGCTAGAGGTAACACTCTTCAGGGAAAGAGAATCTATAAGTCTTGGTCACTCGGCCTAGGGCTCAAGGTCAGGATAGGAGCACTAAGGTTGCCCTTTCTGTGTCCTGCTTCAGTGGACTGAGGAAAGGAAGGTAGCATTTTATTGAACACCCATTATGTGAGCCACACTGTGCTTTCTACATATTTTGTCATTCAAGCCCCATGACTACCATGCAAGATAAGTGGTAGGTCCACCATTTAAAGATCAGGAGACCGAGAGTCAGAAATGTTGAGCTGGGAATGCAAGCTGGTGCAGCCACTCTGCAAAACAGTATGGAGGTGCCTCAAAAAACTAAAAATAGTTTTACGACCCAGCAATTGCACTACTAGGCATTTATCTAAGGGATACAGGTGTGCTGTTTCCAAGGGACACATGCCCCCCCCTCCATGTTTATAGCAGCACTATCAACAATAGCTAAAGTATGGAAAGAGCCCCAATGTCCATCAGTGGATGAATGGATAAAGATGTGGTATATACATACAATGGAGTATTACTCAGCAATCAAAAAGAATGAAATCTTGCCATTTGCAACTACCTGGATGGAACTGGAGGGCATTATGCTAAGTGAAATTAATCAGAGAAAGACAAAAGTCATATGAGGACTTTAAGAGACAAAACAGATGAACATAAGGGAAGGGAAACAAAAATAATATAAAAACAGGGAGGGGGACAAAACCTAAGAGACTCATAAATATGGAGAACAAACAGAGGGTTACTGGAGGGGTTGTGGGAGGGGGGATGGGCTAAATGGGTCAGGGGCACTAAGGAATCTACTCCCACAATCATTGTTGCACTATATGCTAACTAATTTGGGTGTAAATTTAAAAAAATAAAATAAAATAAATGCTATTTACAAGTATCCTCTAATCGG